CTCTCAGATGACTATTTTGTCCATTTTTGGATTGAAATAAAGAGCTAGAGGTGCTGTTGACCTTTAGTGGTTCCACCGTGCCAAAGCCACTTGGCATATTAGTCTCGCTAGCCAAGAATTGTTTGGTGTTTTCTTGACGTGTCAGCACAGACTTGTCCCTGTGTATTTCCCTTCCTTCATTTACAAAACTGGTTGCGGTTGCCCTCACTTCTTGGGTGGGATGGCTAGTCACGTTAACCCAGTTGTCCTCCTCAGTCTGAAGGGGAATTTTCTTCAAAACAGAAGCAAGTTCTTGATCTGACAATATTCTTGTATTCCCAAAGCCTTGAGGCTCCATTTCCTTGCAAATGGTAGAAGATGGAAACTGTGGAGGCTCCATGTGTTTACCCATGGTAGAAGATGGAAACTGCGGGTAGAACTTTGATTCCTCAGCTCTACTACCTCCAGAAAGTTTTAATTTTTCTAATAGCAGCTGCAATTCAGACACAGAAAGTATTTTCAATGAATTTCCTTCGTTTGATGGCAATGTTCTGTTGTCAGCTTTGATTGTGTCTTTTTGCCCCAACCCCCTCACCTCCTTTGCCCCCTCCTCTGGGCTCCTAACACTTTCTGCAGCCTTTCTACTGCTACTTCTTGGCCCCATCTTACTGCTGTCTTTCAGCCACAACCCTGATCTTCTGGTAGGAAAGATCTACACCTAGCCTTCTCGGACAAGGGCGGAAAATCTCGGAGAGCATGTGTGCAAGTAGCGCACATTAAAAATCCCTTGGTGATCTAAAATCGATAAGATTATTCTTCGGCTGCCATCCAGGCAAAAGTCAACATTTCCGACCAACTGAAAAAGTTTCAGTTTAATGCGTCCTGCGCACTCATATGACCTTATGGAGTTGCGAGCGCTGTAAAACACTTACAAAAACCCCCCCATTATCTCAGTCTTGAAGTAACACAAAATATTACAACAATAAATAATTCTTTGAAACAACACAAAAATTAGAACGAATAGTTTCTAAGCAATCTCCACTGCATTTCGTTTTATTCAACAAGTGACATGATATAATTAAGGCAATCTTAAGTTATTGATGGGGCAAAAAAAGGAACAAAAGAAACAGCCCAACCAACAGTATTTTTTACCACTCCAGAGTGAGGGCTCATTAGTGAAAAGAAATGTAAGATAAAAAAATCAAGTAGTCACTTCTCAGCAAATCATGTACAGTAACATGTAATATCTCATACAGACTGGGCTTTGGCTTCACATTCAATGACTAGAGTAGATCATGCAGGTAAAAGAAGGGTACAAAATGAAAAAGAGAAATGCAAAGCGTTCCGCTGAAAGGCATACTCAACAAAATTTAGGAAATAAACAAGGCCGATAAATTGTAACATACCGTAAAAAGTACAAAGACGGCATGAAGGGATCAACACGGCAAAATGCAGCAGTGAGAAGTCCCCCATACTCCTCACAACTCAAAATTCAAATCCAAAAATGACAAAAACATTGAAGTTGAAGGTACTTAGAAGAACAAAATCCCTCAAAATTCATAGTACCTATTGGAAATATTTCAATCACTAAAGGTTTTGATCACAATATATGTTTTGTTATGTTCATGTTGCCAATTTTCAGGTAGGCCTACAGGTGAAGCTTTTTTTTGCAATCTCATGATTTTCCCCCCAATAAGAATAGTATAAACTTAACTAACCAAGAAATGACATGAAAACATCAAAAAGAAATCAGAGTTAATTATGGAATCTGTAATACAGGGTTCCTACTCGCAAGAAATGGCAACTAAGAAGGAATGTTGTATCAGACAACAATGATTCCAACAGCAGATAAACAAACAGTAGCAAACAGAACAGTCTCTTAAAAAAAAAAAATGTTATGTTCATGCCCCCATCAACACTATTTAGATCATTCAGGAGGCGGGATTCTGACACTGCCTGCCAAGATTAACTCGGACTGAGAGGGATACAATACAACATCCCAGCATAAAGGTTGAGATACTCGATAAAAATCCTCCCCATTCAGGAATCGAACTCTGGTCTCCTGTGTGTGACAGCAAAGATGCCGGTAACCAGCTGTCAACAAGTCATACGTTAAAACTGTCACTCAGGACAAGCATATTACATGTATCCATGATATCACTATCGAAGACTGGCCAAGTCTGAGATACCCCCCGTCCCCCAAGTCTTGAAAAGACATAGTTTTAGTTCTTAACATTACGAAAAATGTGTTTATCAAAAGAAATTTTTCAAAACTCATTATGGCACATTCTCAGAGGCTGCTTCATGACCTCTGATAGGAAAGTCAGTGGTAGGGCGTACTGTGAGTGAAAGGAATGGTTTAAGATTTTTTCTGGAATGAATTTGGTAGCATTGGGAACTGTCTTATTGTATCCAACATTGGTCTTCGAGTCACTGTGGGTGGTGAATGAGTCCTGGACACAACTGTGCTTGGCTTGGTGTCCTCTACACCTGACTTTTGCCTCAGTCCAGAGATAGCTGCTTTTATCAAAGCCGATGGGATGTCACTACTGTCAGGTTTTGAACGTCTATCTGCCCGTTTCCTTTGTTCTTGAGGAAAATCTGCACCATGGCTGCTTACTATCGTTTTGAAATCCCCAGGCACTGTAGATTCACAATCAGGCTTAGACTTCGCTCTCCCTCGACCACGTCCTCTACCAATACCAACTCGATTAGAGACAGTGGTGAGGGCCTCTGGGTTGCTTTCACTTCGTGAAACATTTTCGGCATGATGCAAAAGCTCAGTCTTTTGAAAAGTTGGAAAACTTAATCCAGAGGAAACTAGGGGAGGCAAATTTGTGGAGTGTCCATTACTGTTCCATGATGAAACGTTTGCCATCTGATTGATATTTTTATTTGTCAGTCTTGCACAGAAACCGGTAGCCCGTGGCAACCTGAGAGGTTCAAACTTTGACTTTTTCACATGAAGAGGTGCATTCTTTGATCCTTGAAACCTAAAACATTCAGGTGTGTTCTTTGGTTTTGTCTCCATTTCAGGTAATTCACCTGTTGTAAACTCTCTCAGATGACTATTTTGTCCATTTTTGGATTGAAATAAAGAGCTAGAGGTGCTGTTGACCGTTAATGGTTCCACCGTACCAAAGCCAGTTGGCATATTAGTCTCGCTAGCCATGAATTGTTTGGTGTTTTCTTGACGTGTCAGCACAGACTTGTCCCTGTGTATTTCCCTTCCTTCATTTACAAAACTGGTTGCGGTTGCCCTCACTTCTTGGGTGGGATGGCTAGTCCCGTTAACCCAGTTTTCCTCCTCAGTCTGAAGGGGAATTTTCTTCAAAACAGAAGCAAGTTCTTGTTCTGACAATATTCTTGTATTCCCAAAGCCTGGAGGCTCCATTTCCTTACAAATGGTAGAAGATGGAAACTGTGGAGGCTCCATTTGTTTACCCATGGTAGAAGATGGAAACTGTGGGTACAGCTTTGATTCCTCTGCTCTACTACCTCCAGAAAGTTTTAATTTTTCTAGTAGCAGCTGTAATTCAGACTCAGAAAGTATTTTCAATGAATTTCCTTCGTTTGATGGCACAGCCTCTTGGAGTTTGGGTGTCTCTGGGTATTTGAAAGCTGATGGCCCTAGGTTGACTTGCTGTAATAAGGAAGACAGCTGTCCATCAGAAGCACTGTGTACATTTTTAACACCATGTGGCGCAATTTTGTAATTTGAGCTTAAATTTCCTATTGGTTGTAATGTTGTAGAGGAAAGGAAATTTTCACCCAGTGATCTTATGTTAGCACTGTTGTTTATTCCTTTTTCACAAGTGACCATATTGCTGCTACAGTTAAACCTTCTCCTTGCTTGTAATGAATCAGTAGCAACGACTTCTGCTTTCAAAGGTACAGTGTTACCATTAAAGTAAATTCCCCTTGCCGGAGCTGCCGTATAGCTGTCACAGATGGTGCTGGCTGCCCCAGTTCCCTGTGATGTTACTCTGCTGCGGACACCATCTGAGCTGACTTTTGCTCCTCCATGGGTCAATTTACTTGTGCTTATGCTTGCACGCACATCCACTGAGACTTCAGTTTTTTCACCTTCTAGAAATTTATGCCCTACATTTCTTATATCAACAGAGACAGCTTCATCAGCCAAGTCTTCATAGCCTGGGGGCGGTAAAGCGAACTCCCTCCTGCAGACCTCTTTTCTGGTGTTTTCTGCTTTTCTTCTTGTATTTTTCGAGCCATTCACATCCCAAATAGAAGTACAAAAATCATTTGAATCTTTGGTGTCAATATTTGCATTCTGCATACTGCAAGTCTTGTTCCTTCGATTCATCGAGACCTCATTACCAGCTGATTTGCTTCTACTAGATGCGCACTTGCCAACCTCACCGTTCTCTTTTCTTGTACTTTGGGCTCTCTGTACTTGACCTGTCGTGTCGGAGATCACATGAACAGGGGTGCTTCCACGCTGCTGCTTGCCCTGCAGTGGAGTGGAGGAGCTTATATCCTCAGCCATAAAACTTCCACTTGGTTCTTTGACATCCTCCGAGTCCGTCCACCGGTCCTCCCAATGATCAGGAACAACGTCTTTCTCTAAAGATGTGTCACAGTCTGACGTGCTGCTCTGTGCAGATTTCAAAACTCTAGACTTTTTTCCATTGTCAGCATACTTAGGAAGTGACTTCATCCTCCCAGATGGTGTTGACGTATCCAGGAGCTTTGAATGTTCAACTTGCTGTGATGACAGACTGGGCCTCATCAAATTTACATTGCGTTTCCTCAGTTTATCTCTGCCGACACTAATGTTACCACTGGATGTTTCACTACAGGGTCTGGATTTCTCAGTGTCTTTTGTCCCCTGGTGGTTTGACTGACCATTTTGTTGATTCTCTTTCCCTTCTTTATCTCGAACATTGTCTGTAAAAGATTGTCCAAACACAAACACATCTTGACTTGAACTTTGCTCATTAGCCATATAGGGGCCATCACTTCTGAAGACATCACACTGGTTCTTTCTGGACATACACTGACCTCTACCGGAAGAATGTGTTGAACTCCTGTAGAAAGGGAGGGGAAAAACAAGTATAGTAATACAGTTTGATAAAAACTCTAATGGATAATGTAATACGTTTTTTTCCTGCATCCTATCAAAACAAACCACACATCATGCACAGAGTGTATCATCATGTCCCTGGACAGTTTTCTTCCAGCTTTTAACATGAAGGCAAGGCTATTCCTCAGGTCAGGGTCGATCTCAGGTTAATGTGGGCACAGTATGTGGATACCTAAAGACTTATATCACCCCTAACCTCAGGGTAGGTGGAAATGAAAATCTGGTCTTCTTACACAAGAATAAAAACCTTGAGAATTGTGTCCTTGGAAAAGCTGAGCAGAAATGTTGTCCTCATCCAATTTGGAAGAAACTTCAGGCAGTACTATGAATGTCAAATCAAGCTAAAAGCTAGCTACAACTTCCCTTCTACACTGCAATCTGCAGTAAAATAATATTTTCTAATCATGATAGCACCTGATTACCAAAACTACCTGGATACCTTGAGGTGTCATATCTGATTCAGAGGTTGACATGTAATGACCCTTCCTCTTTCATGGTTGCGAACCGTCATTGCTCGAGACCAGTCCATATCCTTATGTTGTTCATCCATGTTATTCTTTGCCTTCCTCTGGCTCTCCTGCCCCACATCTTTCCTTCAAGCACCTCTATAACAATGGTCTCGCGTCCTTTTAAGTGGTCACAGTATTGTATTTTTTTACATTTTATTTTGTACAGCAGGGTTTGTCTTGTGTGTAGAATCTGACGCACCTCATTGTTTGTCTTTTTTTATTTTCCCAACTTATTCTGGCCATTTAACGGTAGCACCACATCATTACAGTTCTTTGGGTAACACATGGTAAGTTCCCTACCTTTTCAACCGTTGCCGGCTACAATAATCTTTTGGGTCTTGACGTGCCTTTGTGAGCCACACACCTTACTATCGTGCCTCGAGACAATTCAAATATCTTGTGATACCCATCTCTGCTCCCTACAACATTGTAGACTTCGCTGCTAAGGTAGACCATTCCCATCACCCACAGCTGGTGTATACATTTTTTCAGACCCCTCCCTCGGCGACCTGGCCAGCTTGGAAGAACCTGCCAGGGACCGAAGTCACCGCTGGTATAACTCCCGGGACCCTAAGGACTGGCAAGCTTCCCCGCCAAAGCAAGGCATGTATACAAGGGAAGCAAAACTAAAGTATACTTAAAATCAATTGATATGCAACCACATTTGCCATGTGTAAAAAGATAAAGCTGGAAAAAGTTTGTGACAAAAATATAAGAGTTGAAACTTTTCTCCCCCCTTCCCCTCAGGACAAAAGGGTAAATCTGTGTACCCATCACTGAACTACCATAAGAACCACCATTTGTGCAAGAAGAACAAGAAGAAGGGAAGGAAGAAAAGTAGGAGAAATTAAATATCTAATAAAGAAGTACAGTTCCACTTACCTAGATCTTGTTTGCTGATGAGAAGCAGGTAGGAAGTCCATGACCGGGCTGGCAGGTGGGGGTCTTACAAACACTGGGTAACCACTAGGAGGCCGTACAGGAAGAGAAAGGAGGGGCTTGGGCGCAGGCAGCGGGACACCTGTCGTGGCAGACACACCACCTAAACTGGCTCTTGAGTGACAACCTCTGAAAATGTATATGGTGAAAATGAAGAATAAGCAAGACTGACAAATACACACATATGCCCAGTCGAAACGAGGGAAACTTTTTGCCAGAGATGTGGGTGTTGTTAAAGTACAGTCGAACCTGCCAGGACGGCCACCTGTAAAGAAGGCCACTTTCCATCCCCCCCTTGTGTTTTGCTATATAATTCAGGGATGCCAAATGATTTTTGAAAAAAACCCTGAAAAAGAGCGGAGCATCACATCTCACCTAAACCGAACCTTGTAAGCTTTTAAATGAGCAAACAAAAACATTTCTCTCTTATCTCTCCCCTTTTCTTTGCAATTCCAACGGATGAAAAAACCCAGAAAATCGGACATTTGGCATCCCTGATAATTTAACTGAGTAAGATGGGCACCTGTCCAAAGCAGCTGCGGCCAGCCTATTATCACGACGATCAGCCGAAATTACCTGACTGAGACGGCTACCCGAACCCCACATTACCTAATACTTTGCCATAAATTACGTTTTCGCACCTTACGCTGTGGGCAAGCCATCACCTGTCGCTATTGTTAGTCCCGCCAATGAATGAATCGATCATGCTGCATAGGTCCCTCCCACAGTCGACCAATCGGTTACAATACATTTTCAGCTGCTGGTAATGGAAGCATGTGATTCCTATAACTTATGAGCCCCACCCACAACTCATACACAAATCGTCAATGAGGTGACCGGTCAGTTTACCCAGTGCGTAACAATCGATGTCAACACGAACTTGCGAAACAAGGGTCGCTCGTTCTCCGAGATTGAGCCTATAACAATCACTAAATGCTTCAACAGGGCCGGATTCAGGCAACTCACCCAGGAGGAGAATGATGCTACCGCGGTAAAAGTACCAGAGAGGTTTGACAACTGAGCAATGCCCTTATCGGAGTGCTGTTTTCAAGACTTCCAGAAATTGATCAAGACCTTGACACATGTGACAACAACCTAGTAGACTGGGATCGTCTGGCAACAGAATTGCTCAAAGATTTAGAAGCTGACGACAATGCTGATGAAAAAGAAGATGAAGATGAAGCTGATTCTACAGAAAATACAGTATCAATACAACAAGCATTTTCTGCTTTAAGCACACTTTGTCTTTACCTGCAACAGAAATGTCTACTACCATCACAGCAGCCCTTGACAGCCATCGAAGATGTGATGGTGATGAGCAGATTGACAGCTAAACAGACAAGAATCTCAAACTTCTTTTTAAAACAGTAGAGGGGACATCTATGAGGTCAGGAGATAGCTGGGAGACGCGGGCCCGGGGACTTTCTTGAACTTATCCAGTTCACATCTACTACCGAGTCACACCTAGTTGTGACCCCCCCCCCCCCCCCCCCCCCCCCCATCAAAATAAAAGAAAAAAACCCCATTACATTTAATCGGCTTTACGTCAGTACAAGCCTGCTACCACCTTCGGTTGGGAATGGTTCGTTTCCTTTATTTTCATCAGTCCTGCCTAAGACGGCCACCTGTCTTATACGGCCACTTTTCTCCTTGACAATGGGTGGCCGTCTTACACAGATTTGACTGTATACTAATTTAGATTATTCTAAGACATCACCTTAACTTAAATCCTTTTTCTAGGCTTTCCACTTTCATATCATGGAATGTTAAACTTCAAAGAACAATAACATGCTACGATTTGCGGACTGTTTTAAACACAAAACCGACACTCATCTAAATATCCGATCATTTTCCAAGACGGAGCACTTCGCTCTGCTGCATGAAACATCAAAGGAAAGAAGATACTGTCTATATTATTCCACAATTAGAGGGATTGAACGTTCTGCTGATGTGCACTGAGTCTATTTATCACCTATTTATTTACAGGAATTATATCAGTTGGAGACACTAACCTTTTCGAACTCCTTTGACTTTTATCGTCATTCATCATCACATCTTGGCTTTCTGCTAAAGTGTTGGTCCTAATTTATTTATTTTTTTTTAAAAGAAAAGAAAAGTAGAGATATAGTCTAGCATGCACAAAGCAAACACACACATTGCAAAACATGTACAATAAAGCCAACAGAATTTTTGGGTCCCACAATTTTTCTAATCCATGTATATTCTTCCTAATTAAAAACGCACATAGCGTAGCGACATTCGTACGTATTGAAAAGACTTCAGCACCCAGTCAGTTTCTGTAGCAGGGCCACCAACCTCAAATTTTCAATCTCACGACGATTCAGAGTCACCTTCAGGTATTTTGGCCAAAAATCCGGTAGTATAAAGACAAAACAGAAAAAAATTAACAATTTATGGACTTATTCAAGGCACTTATGAATCAGTATTGAATTTGGATTTTAGCACAGGGTGACTGCCAAACTGATTTCAAAATCGATAGCCTGTACCGATGAAGACTTTTTAAAATAAAACATAACATTTGCTAAACAATGACATGCAGACAGGGCACTGATAAGTTCTGTGTGACTAAAGTATGCCAGAGAATTTTAACTCGTCTTACGTAACCATATTTTAAAAAAATGAACCTGATTTGATCCTGTAGAAAGGCCCCAAAAATCAGCTGTCAAAACCCAGTCTTGGTTTCAGTATTCATGGATTTTAAAAAGTATGCAAGACAAAACTTATCATCATCATCATCCAGTGTCAGATCTGCGACAGACATCGGCGATCATGGGTTTCCATTCATTCATTAGACGGTCCTCAAGGCAGAGCAAAAAGTGACAGTGGAAGAGAGCATGTACTGAGCGCTAGAGTTGAGACGACTATGCGAGCATGGAACAAAGTGACGTTGAAAATCTGGCAATCACTGTATCATGTTTTGAATATTGCATTGATTTTAAAAAAGGCTAAAGCACAGATCGAGTTTTAACCACCCATCATACAGTGACAAACTATTATGATGTAGCTAAGGTATCCAACATAGGTCCCCTATGCAGCACAACGTATTAATCAGAAATTGATTTTAAGATTTTATCCTCTGGTGTTGTGGCATTTTTCCTTTAAAAAAAATAAATCTTAGTGCTCATAGTAAATTCATTAGTTTAGGCACCTTTTATCGGTTAGGCGGAAAAACAGGTCCAAAATCAGTAGATTTAGAAAGCCCAGCTATAGTAAGATTAATTTTAACAACTCCAGTAAGGCATACGCAAAAGAAAGGTTATAACGATTTTAAAATCTTAATTAATCTTAAAACTATTGAAAAAATAGTAAAGAAGTTTTTAATCAAAGAAAAATGCAGTTGAACCTGCCATGACGGCCATCTGTACAAACTGCCACTTTCCATTCCCCCCCCTTGCATTTTTTCTACATAACTGTGTAAAACGGGCACCTGTCCAACGCGGCCACGGCCACCCTATTTTTATCAACCCACGGTCAAATTTACCTGCCTCAGGCGGCCAGGCGTGGTCACTCATTGCCCGACGTTTTGTCAAAAATTTTGAATCGGCCCCTCACGCTGAGGACGGGCCATCATAATCCATTCCCCTGTCGTTATTGTTAGTCCCTACAATGAATGTTTGTTTTTTGTTTTAGTAGAGGTTTTACGGCGCTCGCAACTGCATAGGGTCATATGAGCACCAAGGGGTGGATGTCAAAAGAGAAGTCCTCACAGGGAATCAGACTTACTCTGTTCACCTCTCTAGCTTCAACAGCACAAAGTCTGCTTCGACTATCAAGGCACTCCAGAAATAGCGGGTCACAAGAGTGTGACAAACATATAAAAGAAGTAGAGGAAAAATGACGATAGTAAGGATTAGGAAAGAAAAAGCAGCTGTTTTAGTTCAGGCACAGTTATGAGCATGACATTATTGGATCAGCCCATTTACAATTCTACTGTGCATTAGAACGAGAAATATCCCCCATTTGGGAATGGCCTACAGACACTTCAGTCAGTGGCACCGCCAGGGGGGGGGGGGGGGGGTAATGAATGTTTACCCAAGCTGACCAATGGGTAGGCCTAACAATACATTTTCAACTGCTGATGAGGGCAGCGTGATCCGTCATAACATCTAAGCCTGCCCACAACTCATGTACAAACTGTATGTGACGTGACAGGTCACTGTTTTGTTTACCTAATCTGCAGCAAAGAAAAAATGGACGTTGACGTTAACTTGCAAAAGAAGTGTCACTTGTTCTCCGAGAGGTGGCTCACTTGTTCTCCGAGAGGTGGCGACCGTAAGTTTATTTTACAATGGCACTCGGTTTACATCGTATAACTTGCATCATTTTTCTTTTATTTTTACCTTTGCAGAAAAATTAGCAACAAAAAGAAAGCTAACCAAAAAAACAACAACAACAAACCAACAACACAAAAAACCTTTCTTACACCACCCACCCCCCTTTTTCAAAAGATTAAAAAACAAAACCCTTTTGAATTAACCTTACGGCAGTCTAAAGCCTGAAATCAGCCCTGGTTTGGACCTCGGAAAAGTTTGCTTTCTTCATTTTGATCAGTCCTGCCTAAGTTGGCCACCTGTGTTATACGGCCGCTTTTCTCTTTGACAATAGGTGACCGTTTTATTTAAGTTTGACTGCAGTTGTTTTGCATCATAGATTCTCTGAGTAAAACAAGTCTAAAATCCTGATTCAGCATAACAACAATTTAGACAAATAGAAAAGTGAAGGGATCAGAACAGACCTTTTAGCGATGCCATCAGCTCTACATTTTTTGCTCAGCTCCTGGGCTCGTCTGAACATAAAGTCTTCTTCTTCCTTTGACCCAGGTACAAGATTTGTCCTGTCTGGCGTAAGAAAAGAATCGCCCTTTGTCCTCCATGCTGAGAAACAGAAAGGAAAGCAGTAGTGCTTACTTATTAGTTTGAGAAGAGATACACACTGACACAATACTGGTTTAATTGATGGTTTCAGAAGACATTTTCATACTTATCAACGCTTGCGGGAAAAAAGTAAGAAGCACATTGAAGTCTGCTGAAACCGAACACGCTTAATCTACAAACAGCAGTAAACCAATGTTGTTGTTGTCTTTGATCCAGCAACAGCTGTGCCCTCACCCTTCTGTTCCATGGTAAGTGGCAAACAAATAGAAAATAAAATCCCCAATTCTTTTGTCTTTGTCTAATTGAACAGCCCCACTAAATCAAAAGCCCGGCTAAACAAAAGAAAATCTGGTGGTACTGCAGATTTCGATTTAGCAGACTCCACTGGCGCTCGCAACTGCATACGGTCATATGAGCGCCGATGTCAACAGAGAAGTCCAAATGGGGAATCGGGCTTACTCTGCTCACCTCTCTGGCCTCAACAGGACAAAGTCGGCGTCGACTATCAAGGCACCCCGGAAATAGCAGTTCATAAGAGAGTGACAAACACACAAAAGAAGAAGAGGAAAAATGACAATAGTAAGGATGAGGAAAGAAAAAGCAGCAGTTCCCCCTATGTCGTTCCGGCACAGTAAGAGCATGACATTGATAAATCAGCCCATTTACGATTCTACTGTGCATAAGAACATGTTAATATCCCCCCTTTGGAAATGGCCTAAAGACACTTCAGTCAGTAGCACTGCCCGGGGGGGGGGATGACCACTTTGTGGAAAAGAGAAATTTTGAGTTGATGGAGGTTCAAAACACAATTGAATCCACACAAAGCTTTGGACGTACCATTCTGAGAAGGAGCAGGAACAAGAGGATGTCTACTTCTTTTCCCTGTTCTTGCTTCTGGTTTGTCCATGCTTCCTATTGCATCCTGGCTTTGTTTGTGCCTTGTGTCGGACTTTCTGCTCTTGGCACTAAAAAAAAAAAAATACAGAGAGAGTGCAGGACTGATTTCTATGCTAATATTGATATTACATATAACCAAAATTTTGTCATACTCAGACCTGCCAACCCCTAACAGAATAAAATAGGATTTTTCATGGAAAAATATCGGAGTCAGGAGAAAAAAATAGGGGCATCTCGGAAGTAAGGAAATCGCCAAACGGGAACGAAAGTAAAAAATACAGGGGAATAAGGATGATCAAACAGGGTAGTTACTTCATTTCATATTGGTGTAGACTGATTCTCCTAAGAAGTAAAATATTATGGATCAAGACTGATCCTTCCTAGGTATGTGGCCATGGCCCTATCAACTTAAAAGAATACTGCACACAAAGTCAAGGCCGTAACAGCTATTTGGTCCTGTGACTGTGAGGAAATTTACAGCATTTCTGAGCTGTGAAATCTTCAATCAGTAGAAAACAAGACAGAGAAACCTTCATCAACCAGATATATATACAACTTCTGTCTAATCATTACTACTCAATACACAAATCTTACTCTGACTTTTGTAAGGCTTCCTCCTCCTCCAAGTTCCTCTGTCTTTCTTTCTCTCTCAGCCTCCTCAGCACACTCTGCTTCCCCTCTGGCCCAGGCAGTTCTTGTTCCTACAGCAATAAATAAGATTTGAGTTTTTGTTCTTGGCATAAAGACTGACCTCAAAAGTAAGCGCTTGGGTAAAACACCTATCAACACTATTAGTTAATTCAAGAGACAGGACCTCCAAATGTTATGTCTGTCTCCGAAAGGACTGAGCCAAAAGGGTTGAGAGCTTTGAAAACTCCACAAAACCACCAGAGTTCAAGAATGCCCATTCTGGGATTTGAAGCAGAGCTATCGGCTTGGTCATCCAGAAGGTACCAACTGAGCAAACAGAGGGCCTACCGATATCAAACGGTGTCAAATTCCTCATCATCATCAAGTGCTAGATTTGCTACAAACATCGGTGATCATGGTTCACCATTCATTCCTTTGCTCAAATGCTCTAAAAAAAAAAAAAATTAGGAAAAATATAAATCTATAGATAGGTTTTACAATCAAAACACAACAATGCTTCAAACATTCATTTCTGGTTGAAATCTCACCCAGAGTCTTATCAAAAAGCAACATGTATTTCAATCAAGAAAAATTAAACTTTTAAGTAAAATGCACAAGAAAACCCTGAAAATCTTAAAATTGGGCGTGAGGAATTATTTGTCAACCCTTCAAAATGCAGGAAGAAAATTGGAGAAAAAAAAATCTTACAGCTGCGCCATCCAGTCGAAACTTTTTCAGATCTTCTTTTTGCTGCTGCATGGCTTCCTCATGGGCTCTTTTACGCTCCTCCTGCACTTGCTGCAGAGTGTGACGCTGAGGTTGTTCCTTAAGATAATACACATATAATAATATAATCCTCTTCATACATCAATAATTGCATACTTTTCTTTCACATTACTAAAAGAAAGCAAAAGTATAATTAAGAAAATTTGGGAATTTTGAACTAAAACAGTACAGAAACAGAACAGAATTTGCATCCACAATCTCATTCCAAACTATAGACCAGTACCATTTTCAAAACCTATATTGGAAAGAATAAAATTGTTTCACAATTACATGACATAGATCTATATTAACTATTTTCAAATGTCCTCAGACCGAAGGGCTAGAACCCATGTATGTATAGTATGGGGTTTTACGGCGCTTGCAACTGCATAAGTTCATATGAGCGTGCGAAACACAAGTTAGTTTTGTTCACAACAGTTTACTGCACAGCTGGCTCGGGTCAGTAGTTAGATCTTAAAATGTAAAAAAATCAGTGTAAATATATATATATATATATTTTCAATCTAGAACAATTTTCCTAGATAACATAAAACATTTTAATAGTTCGATTTCACTTTATAATTTGCCATAAAGGCCTTCATAAAATTCTAAATTCTGATGGGACCAACGACGGAAAAAATGTCTTGCAATTTCTTGCATTTATAATATTTCCTTCAGATCTCTCCAAAGTCCAGACATTCAGATGGCCGCTGGATCGGAAAAGTAAAGTTTCAAGTGTTAAATGTAGCTCATCCCATCCCATGAATCGCTCCCCCAGGGTCTTGAAATCCACAGAGCTTTACACATATCCAGACCTGCCACTCTATGAAACCTCAAAATCAGGATCTCAGGCAGAAAAAGTCGGGATTTTGTGAAAAAAATCGGGATCAACAGCAAATCACCAAGGTGACTGTCAAAGCTGACTTACAATTTTTGCAGGGGTGTCCATAAATTCCTTGGCCTATATGGCCCCTGTGTGTGTGTGTGTGTGTGTGTGTGTGTGTGTGTGTGTGTGTGTGCGTGCGTGCGTGCGTGCGTGCGTGCGAGTTATCATTATTTTTTGTAAATCCTGAAGCATCGCGTCAAGCACTCCTAGTCCAAGTGTCTATACCCCCCACCCCTACCAATAAGCCCCGAAATACATGAACTTAAGTTGACCCCGTCAACGGACGGTCCCCGACACGCAGAACTCACACGGCGATGATAGGTCACGTGATGCGATGCGCGATTGAAACAATTTTACTAAAGGGTCCAACTAACTGCACGTTCACACAAAACACACGGATGAGCGACAGTCGTTCTACTTCTAGAAAAACGACGGCGGCCGACTGACCAAATGTACCAACAAATCTCTTATCCCTCATAATGCGTTCTGACTAAAGCAACGACAATGGCCGTATGTTAGTCTTGTCAGCCCAGTTACATGTAGTTGTGTAAGGGTTAGAAAGACTGTCGCTCGCTCGTCTGAGTGTTTGGGGTGAACGCGCAATTACCAGACCTCGGACAAGGCTTGTTTTGAAAGTAACAGCGGCACTATGAACATTATCAATTATTAAATGTCCCAAATTGTAACAGTTACCAGGCTATCATCGGAGAATTGTGGGTGCGGGAAAAGAGCACACACAACTTGGGGCGAGTCAACTACTAAATGCGGCATCGATATTTCGGGAAATAGTGCTCCGGGTTCCTACTGACAAAAAGTTCAACGGGTGCTTCCCACGATAAAGTAGAAGGCAGAGTAAGTTTTTAGAAAAATCCGGCACAACAGCGGACTGGGACAAAAAATCGGGATACACGCGATCGAAATCGGGAAAATCGGGATGCTTGAGATTTGGGGCAAAAAATCGGGATATCCCGACTAAATCGGGATGAGTGGCAGGTGTGCATATCTAATTTCCGATTTTGCTCTAAATTTGAAAATGAGCTGTAATATTCTTGATAGGCTACTTTGATCACATCTGAAGCAGTATTCATGTACAAACTGTTATTTGTGAATCATAGAGTTGGAGTCTGAATTGAATCAGTTTCGGGAGAAAAAAAAAAAGTTTAACCTAATAATACACACTGGTGTCTTTGGGCTTGGGTCAGCATCTAGATGTGGGTGAATTTACAATACTAAAGTAAACTGCAGCACAAGAAACAAAATAGCAAATAATTCAAGAACATTCTACACTTTTTGGAATCTCTCATAAGTTGTTAAGTTGCAGGCTGCAGTGACTCAGAACAGTAACTGTCATATTTTGCCAAAGGAAGAAAAGGACAGAATAAACATTTTTTTTAAAAATTAAAAATTAAACAGATCACACACCAATGTACTTTAACCAATGAAAGTACGAGTAAGCATATGAAAGAACTGTGGGTTTGTAAGTTTTACTTCAAAACTAGAAAATCAGTTTCATTCTGACAGTAAATGGCCACCACTCACCTTTAGGAGGTTCCAAAACATCTCAAAATGTTTGTCAGTATAACTTTTCTCTGGCTTTTTAGCCCTGGAGCAACTGTTGGTTGCTTGGCTTTTGTTGCCTGATGGTGACGAGGCCGTAATCAGATTTTGCCGGGACTCTGAGAGCGGTTGGCCATGATTGGGTGATGACTTGTTCTGATTCTGATCAAGACAAAAGAAGGAAAAAGAAAAACAATTTTCGCAACTGAAATAAGTTTATTGTATTTTCTCCTGTGATGATTTACTTTATGTTCAAGAATCACATTCATAGTTTATGTATGGGGAATACAGCGTTCATAGAAATTTTGGTTTTTGGTTCTTTTTATAAACCGTGGAAAAGACCAGACCTTTTTTTCATTAGTGACATCTTTTTCACTTGTGATTTTAGAACCCAGACATTCTAATTTTTCTTCCAATTCAATAGTTTCATTTTCAATAGTTATGTCTCATTATGAAGAGCACTCAGCCATGTGGCTTTTCAAGCAACCATTCCTGACTACCTGTCATCTACTCTTGCAACTCAGCAATTTATGCTTGGATGACATCACACATTCTTAGAGACTTTTTCCAAGTCATTTTATCAAGCATTATCCGCCAATGTGTTTCTCAGAACAAAGTACATGTTTAGAGACAGTGATTGCGCGCTTGTATGTCTAAATAATATAGTAAAAAAAAGTCATATGAAGAAAGTGTGCATTTGAGCAGACCATGTCTTTAAATTGCATGTATTTAGGCTGAGACTACTGAGCTCAAACAAGTAAATTTTACTAAATGAAGTATTAACAATAATAATAATAATAATAATAATAATAATAAATAGAGATATATATATATAGCTAGCACTCTTTGTTTTAGTAGAGGTTTTACTGCGCTCGCAACTGCATAAGGTCATACGAAGAGCGTCAGAAGATTGGGTGTTACAAGAGAGTAACAAACTGAAAGAAGAAGAAGCGGAGAAAAGGACGATAGAGGTTTGATAGGAAAGAAGAAGCAAACCACACCAGAGCACATGCCAACCACCAACGAGGATTGGGTATATATAGCACTCTATCCCATACGAATATAAGCTCTCAGTGCTTTACATCGATCACATGATCACTGAGTATAATACTTCATTCACAGAAGATAAAACATCACACAGTAACAAGAAAACCAGTTCAACTGCATTATGGCAAATCTCACTTCAAATGAGGAGTTCGAAGTTGACGTTGTCACATCATCACAAGAGTGTTCCATAGAAGTACTCTGGGAAAAAAATACAAGAGGAAAAATTACATTAAAAATCTGTCCCCTCCACGACTAAAGCGTTCAATGAAATGAACTTGACAGAAAACAAAATGAAGGCCAGGAAGCCTTCCATTAAATATCACCACCAGCCAAATAATTCACGAACAAAGAAATATGAATGCTGAATGCATATATGTATGTATATATACAGGTATGAGCATAAAATGTCATTACTCAAAAGCTAGATACAAATTGCATCTGCAACCCTCACAAACCAAGTTCCCATGTTGCTATTTGTGAATCATAAGTAAGCATACTTTTATCACTCGCAATTTTTAAGGTCCTTAAGACTTAAAAAGGGAAAGATTAAACCTTTGATACACACAGGTGTCTTTTGGTTGATATCTAGATATTGATGAATTTACAAAATAGAGGCAAACTGCAACATGAGAAACAAAAAGCAAAGGAAAAAAGGCGGGAACGTTCTGCACTTCCTGGAATCTCAAATAAGTCGCAGGTTACAGCAACTCAGCGCAGTAACTGCCATATTTTGCTATGAAAAGCAAAGGACAAAATGATACTGAAAAAAAAAATGAAATAGATCACACAAAAATGTACATTACCCAGTATAGGAAAGTGACAGCAAACAATTCAAGGGTGTCACATGCAATCTACTCAAGTCTGTTTGAGTGTTTTTTCCCATGAGAGACAAAAAAAACTAGTTTTTGTTGCATTGTTCCTATCAGGAATCATGAAAAGCGTGAAAATGGTAAGCCTTGACCATAGCTTAAACAGCATTTTGGTGATGCTGAAAGGTGCATAGAGTTTTGGGAGGGTGTAAATATAAAAAAATTCTCAAAATTTGGATAAAAGTGGATTGCTGGTGACAGCAACGATATGCGAGTGAACATGTTCGAGCTATGCAATTGTAAATATTACTTTAAAACAAGAGCAAATGCTGATCTCTTGGCTTCTGTTGTCTGAAGAGGACGAGGCAGTACTCAGATTTTGCTGGGGCTCTGACAGTGACTGGCCACAACTGGATGACTCGTTTTGATTCTGATCAAGACAAAAGAAGGAAAAACAAAACCAGTTTTCTCAACTGAAATAAGCTTATTGCCTTTTCTGATATGACAATTTGTTTTTTCAGGATTCACATTCAAAGGCAGCTATAGGAAATACCGGCTTTCAAAGAAATTTTGAGTTTTGCATGTTAAAACAGATCCTGGAAGAGATCTTCTTTTCATTTCATTGATATCATCTTTGTCACCTGAGACCATAGAACTCAGATATCAAAATGTTTCTTTGTACATGTATTAAACAGTGTCATCTTTAATAATTATGTTTCATTCCCTTTTTGATGTGCTTAAAAACTTTTTTGTTTTCCTTGTTGCACCAGGATACGGATTCTACTTCTCATTGTGTTTCTACCAAATTGATGATCTGTTTCTCTGCACATACGTAAAAAGCTTTAGTTTGGACATTAATATCCAAGAAATTGTATTACCTACAATTGTCACCAACGTACACCTTATTGTAAAGAACATGAAAGTTGACAAATGTAGCAGATGAGATATAGGAACAATAACCCCCCACCTCAATTTTTTTAAACCCTAAACTTGTTTCCATTTTCAATTAATCAAGTTCATCCTCTACCAGGCACATATAGATTTTAAATGTTCAGCAGAAGAAAATTTAGAATCAAACAAATACTCAAATAAGTAAATTATAACTTTTTATTTTTAAATAAAAAATTATGGCAAATCTCACATCAAAAGAGGAGTTTGAAGTTGATATGGTCACATCACCATCAGTGTGTTCCATGGAAGCACTCTAGAAAAAAAGACAAGTGGAAAAATTACATGAAAACCTGTCCCCTTCGTCAAATATAATGAATTAGACTGAAAAACAATGTTATAATTAAGTCCTGCAACCTTCCAATTGAACAGGCTTAAGTTTACCATATGTCATCAACATAAAACATATATTAATGGAGGAACACAACTACAGACGAAATATGTACAAGAACAAATGAAGTATCACCGTTCAAAATCTAGATACATATTGCATCTGCATCCCCCACTTAGTCTAGGAGAACTCTTTTTTTTCTTCTTTTTTTTTTGGTAAGTGTTTTACGACACTCGCAACTGCATAAGGTCATATGAGTGCGCAGGACACACCTAACATTTTCAGTTGGTAGGAAATTTTGAATTTTGCCTAGGTGACGGCTGAAGCCTACTCTTATTGATTTTAGACCACCAAGGGATCTTTAAAGTACACAACTTGCACATGGGCCCTCCGAGATTTTTGGCCCTTGTGCGGGAAGGCTAGGTGTAGATTTTTCCTACCAGAAGATCAGGGGTGTAGCTGAAAGACAGCAGTAAGAAGGAGCCAAGGAGTAGCAGTAGAATGGCTGCAGAAAGAGTCAGGAGCCCAGAGGAGGGGGCGAAGGAGGTGAGGGGGTGGGGGCAGAAAGAGGAGACGAAAGCAGATGACAGAACATTGCTAGAGAGCAGAAAAGAAAGTGAATATAGGAGAACTCTAAAGTTTCAGATCATATATGACACAAAAGAGAATATGCTTGTGAAATATAGTATATTATCTCATGCGTTATGCACATAATGGAATTTTGCTAGCATGCTTATTTATTCTGCAAAGGGTGAAATCTACCTTTTGAACAAATTTCATGACATAAGTGCTTATGTCAATTAACGTCTTTCACAATTCGGTTGGCATTTTAAAAAAAAACTTTTCCATTACACTATTAGTTTTTATTTGGGCCAAGCTACCTGAATACTTCATTTTAAAATACAATGGAGTCTGCTTAAACTAAAATCTGCAGGACTGCCAGATTTTCAATTAAGAGAGGTTGCTCAAATATGAAAAAAATAAAATTTAAAAAATTGGGGATTACATTTTCTTTTGATTTACTACTGTTTTCAGATTAACCAGACTCCCCTGTACTTTTTATTGGTCATGTCTAGTCTGGTCATAAAAAACAAGACTCATATTTTTTAAGCAATCAACCTTTTTTTAACAATGTATTACTTGTTCTTGTTTTACATAAAAATATGAAACAGATGAAACCCATTTTAACATTTTATCTCTAAGGGGGGTAAACCCATAACGCCGGACGTTTTGATACTAAATCTAAAAATGACAAATAACGTCACTAAATGGGTAATTAAATCAAAACCAAAGAATCCATTTGATAGTTCATCTAATGAACCAACTCCTGGTAAAAAGAGACCTATATTCGTCAATTGCCAAAAAAGTAATTTGATGTCGAAGTTGACCGCTGGAACCCGCTTGCTGGAGATAAAAAGAATTCATGTGAAGACTTCACTCATTTCATCATGAGGTTGATCATATAAGTTCAGGGATAACCTCATTCATTTTGGAGATGTGAACTATCAGATTCAAGTATGGCATACCAACAAAATCAGAGTGCAGTTCTACATTGAATTTACTGTAAGAAATGTACATCTGCACAGTCAGGTGAATTGGAGGAGCTTGTTTCTTTTCACTCTTCAATTCTATTCTACAAAAATAACTTTTCTATGATTTTTTACTCTTAATGTCATTCTCCAAAATACACTCAATAAATAATTCACTCCTTAACTCACTCCCTGCCATTGCCTCACCAGGGTCGGTCACAGGGTGGCCAGGGAAGTCAGAAAGTCGGAAATTGGTAGGAAATTTTTGTTCAGGTCGGATAAGTCGGATTTTTGTTGGAAAAATTCTTCAGGAATATATGGATGTCTAAGGAACTGGAATTGAACACCAAGCTGAGGATCTTCAAAACAAACCTTAAGACAGTTCTACTGTATAGTACAGAGACATGGAGGCTCACAGCATCAGCAGCAAGGAAACTGCAAGCTTTCTAAATGGATGCCTAAGAAGGATAGTGGGGATCAAGTGATACAATCGAGTCACAAATGCTCAACTGTGGGAAAGAACAAACCAAAGGCCAGTAAAAGAAGACATACAGGTGAAGAAATGGAAATGGATTGGGCACACCCTGAGGAGACCCCTGAGAAGCATCATCAGACAGGCTTTGACATGGAATCCACAAGGAAAACGAAAGAAAGGAAGACCAAAGATGAGGTGAGCGGTACAAGCGGAAATGGAAAAGGCAAGAACATTATGGAAACAGCTAGAAAAGGAAGCACAGGACAGGCTTCGTTGGAGAATTGTTGATGGCCTATGCTCCAATGGAAGTAAAAAAGGGCAAGAGAGAGAGAAGAGAGGAGTGAAGACAGAGTGAGATCCAAGTCCCCTGCGATTGGGGAACAGGGTTTCCCGTGGTAAGTTACATCCCCCTATCAGTAGTACTAGAAAACCCCACATGACCATAATTTTCTCTCCCAATATTAGTTCAAGAATACTTGCAGCTTTGCCCTTTTTGGCTAGTCTTTTCATCTTCTTGGCATGCTCTTTGTCCGCTCTGGCCAGGTCTCGCATCCGCTTTTCCCAGCTTAGTTTCCTCCTTTCTTTTTCTAACCTTTGTCTTTCTATTTCATTTTTTGATGAAGAACAAATACTGTCTCTGGACCTGAGAAAAAAAATGAGAATAGATGAAAATAAAGTTGTTGCCATGAGATTGAAAAGAAAAAAATGTGTAAATGTGGGACAAGTAAAAATACTTCTCAGATATAAGATAAAAGATGAGTCACAAATTAATTTTCTTTCCAAACATCCTTGGGAAAAAACAACCCTCAAAAACGAGAAAGCCAAAAGGTATCTCACTTAACGCGGATGAATGACCAATCACTTAGATTTCTTTTGTGCTGACCATCAACTTTTACAAATTTATGGAAAAATCAGAAATTAAGTACATTTTTATCTTTCTTTCAATGAAAAGAAAATGGCTGGTTCCACTTCATCAGTTTGACCAAAGAAGTATAAAGTATGAATAAAGACAGAAACAATAGCAATGGGGAAAAAAAGCAGAAGAAACATACAAATAGAGACCCCAACAACAAGCAAAGTAACAACAGCAATTCCTGTTACTTACAGAACAATGGCAGACTCCTTTTTCTCCACTACACTCTCATCAAGCTTACACTTTTTCATAAGCACATGCCTGATCCCTACTATTTCCTGGAGCAAAGAACAAAAATGTCAGTCAGGTAACCACTTATCTTACAGCGCCTGTACAATAAAAAGAATTAAGCGAAAAGTACGATTTTACTTCTCACAATCTACAAATGAAGATATTGGCCAAAAATTGACACATGGGTCAAATTGGTAGATTTTCTATTGATGCCTTATTCTTTACGTACGACATGCCTTTTATTATTTCACACCTATAAATTGTAAAAACTTCCCCTATAAGCATGATGTACCTATTTCCATAGGGCTTGAATCCAAGAAGTAACTCATTTTGTCAACACACATCACGTTTGTATCAGTGGTTCTTATTGGTCATCTAGTCTTCATCCTACCCATGACACAAAGCATTGTTGAAGGACAATCTTGATGTTGACCCTGCTTAAGTATCAAGTGTCACTAGGCAGACAGACTGCATTGGATCATAGTACAAAGGCAAAGCAAAAGAGACGTCAACTCTGTCAGTCAACTTGCGAAAAATTTCAGCTGGAAAAAAGAGTGACATCTTGATTTATTCTAAAATATGACCATAATAATTGTAGCAAAGATCTTATGAGTACATGTCAGTGAAATTCCATTTTCTTGAGTGTTTTGGCTCAAGGTTGAAAATATACGTAAACAAAATGCCCTTTTCACCTGCCCAATGGTTGACTTGGGAAGATCAACCTCGGCAGTGCGTCTTGCTCAGTAATGCTGATTGAGTAAACTTACACTTTATAACGTCTGTTTGATAGGAAAGAAGGAGCAAACCCCACCAGAGCACCCACCAGCCATCCCAGAGCAGCCAGCATATGTTTTAGTAATAAGCAAATAAAAAATTAGTAATCTAGTTTTAAAATTCTTTTTATATTATAAGTAAAGGCAATGAACCATCTTCTTTCCTGGGGTGTCATGGGCATGGGTTGTAGTCAAGCAAGTACAAAAGTAACGCAAACAAAGGCATGATGAAAATAGCGGTCTGGACGGGCTCGTCACTGGTCGAGTGAAGAAGGAAAAAAAAAGAAAATATTAAGTTTCAAACATAGATCCATGAAAAAAAAAAAGCCCATCTCTCAATGGCCTTGGCTGTCAAACACAGCACAAAAAGACAGGAATTTGCCAACATCCTGTCAACCTAATATTTACTTAGTCCTGGATTCGGCACTTCTTTTTTAAAAGTTTCAGTAGAGGTTTTACGGAGCTCGCAACTGCATAAGGTCATAAGAGCGCCAGAAGATAAGAGGTGTTACAAGAGAGTAACACACATAAAAAAGAAGAAGGGGAGATAAGGACGATAGATGTTTGATAGGAAAGCAGGAGCAAACGACACCAGAGCACCCGCCAACCACCCACTCGGCACTTCTAAAGTCTAATGTTTTTTTAAGGGCAAAGTGGCACTGAGGGCTCAAGGCAAAGAGGATGCTACAGTTAGACATCTACACATGACGCGTGACATAGACTGTCAGAGTTTAGTAGTTTTTCTCTCCTTTTACATCGGGAAGGTTGGCATCCGAAATTTTTAAAAATCAGAAGAGGTATTACGATCGTATTTTCATAAATTGAATCAAAATCGTGATGATTCCGCCAAATTTGTAAATATGGGCTACCCTACCATCCGCATGTTTTCTCGAGTATCTACTCTTGGGGCAACAATTTTCCTTGTGCATTATTCATATCTACTGCAGTTGGTCAATAACCTTTCCAGAACATTTTCCTTTATCCTTCCCTGTCATTTTATCTATAGTTAAAAACTCTGATGTACTATAAAAATGGTGTATTATTCTCCCAAGCCAACAGAAAACCTCTTTTCTGAAAACTCTGCTGAACTTCCCTTTTCAGTCTCTTCAATGTTCTGAAACTAGATTATAACATGTAGCAATTGCTACAACATTTCCCTCTCCCATTCCTGAAAGCTTATCTTATCTCAAGAGAAACAAAGGAAAGAAAAAAAATCAAAGCAAGAGAGATGCACATCTTCTGCAGAAAACACAAGAGGTCAGTCTTCTTAGGAAAAAAAAAAGCTACAAAAAATAAAAGAACAACTTGGAATGCAAGAATACAAACAACAATCACCCACTGATGTTTGAAAAAGAATGAACAAATTGAAACTAGAGGTGAAATCATACATTTTTGATAAACCATTATTTGTTGTGAGAATAATCAGTAAAAACACGGTCAAAGATTGTCAGTTCTGAGAAGATAATTGCCTGAGCTGAAGACTCAACAGGCAGATGGATAGAGCATGCAAAACTATTCTGTTCCACGGATGACTTCTTTTTGTGTATTAAGAGTTTTACAGCACTTGCAACACAAAAAGGTCATATAAGTGCCTAAGATTAGAGGAGTTACAAGAGGGTAACAAACACAAAAAAGATGGAAGAGAGATTTAATATGGATGATAGATGTTTGATAGGGAAAAGAGGAGCAAGCAATCCGTAGTGAACATCAGTAGTAACAAAACAAGTAAACATATGTGAGGCATCGTGGTGAAATCGGGCACTCGTCTAAATCAAAGAAATTGGCATTTCTGACTGATGGGCAATTTTGTTCTAATTTTCTTTTTATTTTGGCTCAACACTTTTTATATCCATTTAAAAACACATTTCTGTGCGGATTTTACTGAAAACGTTGATTAAAGGAGCAAAAAATGTCAATTTTAAGTTTCCAAGGACTCTCAAGATATGGAAATTACCAAACTTTGGCGATCATTTTCTCGCTAATTTCGTCTCTGAAACCAGGCGACCCTGACCTCCTTCTATCGCAAATATTTTGACTTCTATTCAACACGAATTTTTTTTCACCAAAAGCAAGGCAAATGTACAGGCTTTAAGATAATAACAATAACCCCATATGCCCTTAAATTGACGAGCGCCTGATTCCACCACGTCGCGGCACATATGAGTCTTCTGTGAAACGAATACAAATAGTTCTCAAAGGATAACATTTCTCCCGCTATCCTATAAAAAAACCTTCAAAATGTCTGCAACATCTGATGCTGTTTATCACAGTACTGGGAAACAAGCCATGGACTGTTTCCTCCAAGAGTAGAGAGATGCAAAAAATAGCACCTTAAAAAAAGTAGAATTATTAAAATACTGTAGGTACCTTACAAGTGTAATTCAAAACAACAAAACAATTGAATAAATTAGTGCATCTGTAAAACATGCTTTCAAACATGAAAAATGTATTAGCCAACTGGAATATTTAGTTATGCACTACAACTTCTTAGCATAAAAAAACCCAAAACTAATGTGAGTGCTCTTTTCAACATGCAGCCATAAACTATACAGCTCACCATCTTCCTTTTAGCTTCTCTTTCCTTCTTTTCTTTCTTGGTTACAGTATATTTGTTAGGTTTCTCCTTCTTCCCTTTCTGAGAAAATTGTTGAAATACAATACAAAAGACACTTTGGAGTTCAGTTACCACTTAAAATATCACTGGAAAAAAACAATCCTGAGTAATAATACGTAACCTTAACTCTTATCAGCAAAAATTACACCCTCTGTGTCGTTCTCATTAACCCCATTCCACCAAAGCGACACAGAACATGTCATTTTCGTCTCCCCTAATTAAACACATATTTCTTTCAAGTCCTCCAAATCAATGTTTACAATATTGATCAAGTTAAAAATAGACATTATGATGCTTCCTTCTTTTCCTAATGAGAATATGACGCTTGAAGGCATTTTTTTTAAAAATGGCAACGCATTATCTCACAGAAAATTTGGACCTAGAATTTGAGTCACTTTCCAAATTAAGATTGTTAATCAAATTCCCTTACAATACTCCTGCTTTTTCTGCACTCAATCTCACTATTCACTATTCCGATGTTGCCAATGGTTAATTTTTTGGGCATGGTGAACGAGATGGATCAAGACCCAAAACGGTTGGTGATGCAAAAATTTAAGCAAATTTTAAAAGACAGAGCAAATTTCATTCCGGCTGTTCAAGAAAATCCATGAAATCAATTTGGATTAAAAGGAGTTAACTGTTAAATCTACAGCATGCCAGTTCAGCAGGCTCACAGAATCACTTGGTTGTTTATGGTCGTAACCAAAATTGTCCAAACCTCAGCAAATTCACATATCTATTACTAAACTGTAAATATTTACTGCTTGCATTACTCACTTTTATTCATTTTTCATTTTGGAGTTTCTTTTATGACCCCCCCCCCCCCACCCCCAAATAGACCCACCTCTACGTGGTGGGGGGATTAGTACTCTTTGAATAGGAAAAGAAAAAGAGGAAGCTAACAGGTCAAGGGGTGACCCCGAAAAGAGAGTTTCTTTTATGCAAATAGGTAGACGAAAGTGGAGCTATGGGGAAGGGTGTGATCTGAAACCTTTGATGACAAAAATTGGCTGCGCACAAAGGAGGAATAGTCCTCCCTATTCTGACAGTTAAGTATGTAACAAAAGTGTTTTGTTTATTTTGCTCATATCTTCATGCCATTTTTTTTTTCTTCTTCAGTTACTATTACAATAATTCTTCTAGGAGGAAAGGAACACAAGCTGACTAAAAATACACCCAAAAAAGTAAGATTTTATTAAAAAATACACCCAAAAAAAGTAAAAGAATGATTTACCATCCAGTAACTCGAAAAACATACGGAATTAAACATTAATTTCTTGGAAGACCACGTGGAACCTGGAGAAGAGTGACAGAAATTGATGTACAGCAAAGTGGGAAGACATGTAGTAACATCAAGAAGCTAGCCCAGGATAGCGAAAGGTGGAAAGTGTTTGTTCGTGACCTATTCCCAGATACAAGGTGAGAAAGACAATGATGACGACGACTACTATTAAACTTCAACAAAGACTTACTTGCTTTTTACTCTCCACTTGAACCGTGTCCATAACGGATGCATCAGTGACCTCTTTGTCCGAAGCATGTCGTTCAACAGCATCAGCACTTTCTAAGGAAGATGATGTCAGCAAACCAGAAGAATTCTCACTGCTTGTTGTTGTATCCTGTTGGCCAGAAGTGTCTGATTGAAGTGAAAATAAGATATTAGAATTAAATATGTGGGAACAAAATCTCTGCAGGCTTGATGAGAAAGAGAACAGTGAAACCATGAGGGCCTACAAGAAGAGCAATTTGTTACTTTGCCATTAATATAAAAGAAAGACTTAAAGCACAGTTTCACTCATTTATACCCCATAATGAAAGTGACGCAAAACCAGACCTGCCACTCTATGAAATGTCAAAATCAGGATCTCAGGGGAAAAAAAATCGGGAACAAAAGCAAATCACCAAGGTGACTGCCAAGCCGACATTAAAATTTCCCAGGTGTGTCGACAAATATATTATGCTCTCAGTGTGTGTTTGTTTATTTGTTTGTGTGTGTGCGTGTGTGTGTGTTTATCACTATTTATTTTAAAATTTTGAAGCATCATGTCAAGCACTCCTAGTCCAACCAATAAGTCCCAAAAGACACTTCATCCAGTGTCCATGAACTCAAGTTGACCCCGTCAACAGACAGTCCCCGACACACGTAGAACTCACACGCCGAAATCATGTCATGTGATGCGAACGCACGATTGAAACAGTTTTACTGACAGGCCCCACTAAATGCACGTTCACACCACAAACGAGCGACAGTCGTTCCACGCTAACGACAATGGCCAACCGATTAATTGTACAAAAATATCTCTTATCCCTCATTTGCATTCAGACCAAAGCAACGAAAATGGCCGAGTGCTAGTCTTGTCAGCGCAGTTAGTTGTATAAGGGTTAGAACTACTGTCACTAGTCCAAGTGTTTGGTGTGAACGCGCGGTTACTAGACCTCGGACGAGGCTTGATTTGAAAGTAACAGCAGAACTACGAATACTATCCATTATTTGTATGTCGCAATTGTAACAATTAAGAGGCTATCATCGCAGAGTGCAGGCGAAGATCAAACACAACTTGGAGGGAGTCAACTACTAAACCCAGCATCGATATGTCGGAAAATAATGTTCCGAGTACCAGCTTAGAAAAAGTTCAACGGGTGATTCCCGCTGCAGAGAAGAAGGCGGAGAAAGTTTTTAGAAAAATTTGGCGCAACAGCAGACTGGAACAAAAAATCAGGATACATGTGATCAAAACCAGAAAAATCAGGATGCTTGAGATTTGGGGGAAAAAATCGGGATATCCCGACTAAATCGGAATGAGAGGCAGGTCTGCAAAACCAATTTCAGAAAGAACTATACCTATATGAATCATGCCAGGATGAAAACTGAAGTCAACAGTGGCATTGGTAGTCTAATGGTCAGGCTGTTTGTTCTAGTATCGGTAAGTGTTTTACGGCACTTGCAACACAATAAGGTCATCATATAGGTGCATTTAGTTTCAGTAAGGTGTTACTGCGTTCGCAACTGTATAAGGAAGGTCATATGAGCACCAAGGGGTGGATGTTAAAAGAGAAGTCCAAATGGGGAATCAGGCTTGCCCTGCTTACCTCTCTCGCCTCAACAGCACAAAGTCTGCTTCTACTCTCAAGGCACCCCAAAAATAGCAGTTGACAAGAGAGTTACAAACATACAAAAAAAGTAGAGGGAAAATGACGATAGTAAAGATGAGAAAGAAAAAGCAGCAGTTCCCCCTGTGTTGCTCTGACAAAGTATGAGCACGACATTGATAAACGAGCCCATTTACAATTCTACTGTGCATAAGAACATGTTTATAATTATATCCCCCCTTTGGGAATGGCTTTAAGTAACTTCAGTCAGTAGCACTGCCCTGGGGGGGGGGGGGGGATAAGTGCCAAAGATTAGAGGTGTTACAAGAGAGTAACCAACACAAAAAAAGAATAAAGACTGATAAGGAAGATGGTTGATAGGAAAGTAGGAGTAGACCACCTCAGAGCACCCGCCAAGCACCCACCGGGGTCACGCTACCAGGACGTGTCCTTGGGAAAGGCACTTTAGACAAATTTTGCTCACTTCGCCCAGGTGGGAATGGGTACCCAGCCATAGACAGCAAAAAGATCTATCCGTATGTGAGAGTTTTAGCGCCTACAAATGACAGCTTGCACTGTATGCTTCCCAGGAAGTTGAGATTGCTTCAGAATGCTATCGAGACTTCTGGGATTAATAACATGGATTGTAAAGCACACAAAGTTTGCTGTTGTACTATACAAAAGCTATCAATTATCATTATTTTACTATTGTCAATAGAGGTGGGTGGAAACCCCCACCCCCACCGAATAATCCCAACAATGTGCTACACAAACCTCTACTGTCCTCCTCCGTCGAATCTTTGACTCTGCTGCATCTTTGCTGTTCTTTTATCTCTGCATTTACAGACTTGCGTCTCTGCTCCATTGGGTTCTGAAATACAAATGGTGAATACTCACTGCTGCCAAAGATGGTAAAGTAAACGTCTTGACTATTGTTAGCCAAAACGGTGAAGATAAGATAAGACTACTGCAAGGAATAAGCAACAGTTGATCAGACATATCTCAAACATTTCGGGGGTTGGCAAATGTGTTCTACACATCCGTAATTGAAGCAAACCACAATAATTATTTATTTTAAAAAGACATCAAAGAAAATCAATGAAGTAACTGGGGCTGTGTGTTGTCAGACAATTAAGTTTTCTCTTCTGTCATGAAAAATACCCGGCATGGCATAGATAAAAGAATAGAAGGATGGATAGTGCGTGCACCTTGTTCAGTGTAGAAGCAGAAGAAAGGAACAAACAGATGCTGATGCGCTTTACGATTAAGAAAATTGCTTTTACATCAGATCACGACAATGATGATGTAATCAACACTTGGTCGCCTCAAAACTATTTTGTCCAAAGTATATTTAACCTTTAAAACTCTATACCGCTGGTAACCGCTAACGCCGTGCTTTTCTACATCGCTGGTATTCCCTGGTCAGCTTTATCGTTTAATTCCCAGTGCTAGAAACAGGGGATGTAACTCCAGATGACTCTGTCGCCAGCGGAAAGTTCAAGTATCAATAAAGAAATCAGAGCAGTTCTACACCAAAGTTTGGAATTTTCGCAAGGTTTTTTTTTAATGAATGACTTTTCGCTGCCAGGCCAATCAGGCCACAAAATTTTTGACATTTTTTATCCTGAACCAGACCCAGACAATGATTCCCAGTCTGATAGATCGGAAGATGTGCAGGGTTTTACGGTTTAAATCAAGAGCACTTTGGACAAAATAGTTCTGAGGCAACGACTAGTCAAAGCACTCTTCCCGCCCCTCTCGTGTAATTACTACAGATCCATACCTCCAAATTCACACATACGCACGCATACAAACAAAACATAATTAATACACCATACGGCCCAATGCAACGACACACTGTCTTTCTTTGATCACAGCCCACCACCCATCCTCACATGAACAGATTCAAGGAAGTTTTAGCACCGTATGCCTATTACAGGTGATGTGCCACGATGCGTCTTGATAGCACTATAACAATCATGCTGAATGGGGGAGAGACTGGTCGGCTCGTGTACCCTGATACTCTCAATAATGATGAGAGTGTGTTTTTTTCATCATGCAACAGAGCAAATTTAAATTCAAGACTATCGTGAGGAGAAATTTGAACTTTTTGAGACAAATTGTCCGACACATTCGTAGTGTTCGAGAATAGGGTGCTACCAATACCCCAAGAAAATATAGCAGCTCAGTCAGGGAATAGCATATTGTTCAAGCAATCCATGAACTCCCATGTTTTGCATGTTAGAGTTATCTGTGCTCAACTGAATGTAAATGTCCTAGATGTTTAGCTTGACCCAAACAACCTAGAGCTCTTTAACCCTATCCGTACGGCCTGGGGTCATTTTGTACCCCTGGGGTTGTATTCTTCACATTTTAGAATACTTCTAGTACGAAAATCTCTTTGAAACTTTCAGTATTTCTCAAAAAATCATTTGACAGACTGCTATGCAAAGCGTACGGATCGGATTAATGAGTAAATTTCCTCTTTGAAAGTGGTGGCACAGAGTTCCCCACGTCATATGGATACGATAGTAAAACACAACGTTCGGATAGGCTTTAGAAAAAAAGCTTAAAAAATGCTGATTGCACCAGTTATTAACCATCAAACAGTCTAGCATGCTCGTAGTGAAATTGACGAGATGCCGAAATCTTTTCCATTTGTAAGAATTTCATTATATGCATGTTTTAAATATAGAAAAAAAATAAGTGTTTAACAAAACAATAAGGACCTGAAAACCTGTCCACTAAGCATGTGTTTCACTACAAACATGGTTAAAAAAGTATCATGAAAAGCAACTATAAAATGGAGAACATCAGCCTAAAATTGTACATAAACATCTTCAACACCAAAAACAAAATGACAATAACCAACAAAGTCATGTCTAGGAAAGATTGCATATTCAGTGAACTATGGTCCTTAAAAGTACACTTATACGTAAATATATTTAAGTCTTCACATTTTTTTTAAAACAGTAACATGAAATCAGGCCCATTATTTTCAGAATCAATTTTTTTGAGAAACAAACCACCCTAAGGTAACTTTAACATTTTAAATATTAATCAAATGCGAGATGTCTTTAATCTGAAGAAAGGATCTTTTGCTTCTTTGTTCTCTCAGGATTATGATAAGGACAAGCTAAGAATTCCCAATTCAATGACATTATCATCACACATAAGGTTTGGCTAAATTCAAAGGTTGATAAATTCATTGGTGTCTGACATTCTTACTGGTATGCTGTCGTAAAAATCAAAGAGTTCCTTTTCTTCGTCTGTGAGTGGCTTTTGTAGATTTTGCCTCTTTTTTTTCTTGGACATGAACCCTGTTGAAAAAAGGTTTTTGTCTTAGTGACTACACACTGGTGACATCAACAACACTGTATGACTATCTATTGGAAGCAAATCCTGATCAGTACTGACACATACATTTAACAGAAAAAAAATCGTCTCCTCAGAACTATTTTGTCTAAAGTGTACTTGAGTAAAGAGGCGCTTTGAACAAAATAGTTCTGAGCCGACGAAATGTTAAACAGCGATTCAGTCAAATTAATGAAGGTTAAAAAATTGGAATAAAATACATGTGCATTACTTCAGCTTTCCAAAGAAAGAGTCACTTGTTTCAGCATTAACAGTCAAGAGTCAAAAGGGTCTGTGATAATTCCTACTTAAAAGGCAAAAACATTTTTCTTAGGAAACCTGGGAAGCAAAATTAACTCTGACAAGTATAGAAAAAAACTACACCCCCCCCCCCCCACAGTAATTCATTAGTACAACAACCAATGCTATTTCTTGTAATCCAATGAATGGTACATCCAGAGAGAACAATGGCAAAGATAGGTTCTTGCAGGGAGATGAAAAGCTATTTGTATCAGATGCAATACCGGTACTAATTCTACTATCTATTAGGCACATCCTGATAAAATTTTTAATGTCTGGACTTTGAAGAGACCGAAGGAAATATTCTAAATGTAGTAACTTGAAGAATATGTTCTCCATTGTTGATACCAACTCAAAGATGTAGATAATACTATTAAAAATGTTAATTGTGTTTTCACTATTAAATTTTTACCACGAATTTTAAACTTCAACCATAAAGTAAAACCAAGCCATGTTGTGAACTAACATGAAAACAACCAACTTGTGTCCTGCACGCTCATATGACCTTATGTAGTTGCAAGCGCAGTGAAACTCTCACCAAACTAAAATAGTTTCACATTGTACGCCTTGGGCCCATGTTGTGGGGAAAGGCAGGATACAAATGCTTTTATTATTATTATTTTAAAAGTCTTTGAAAAGTTGTTGCCCCGGTGGAAACACCCAGATACAGGAAAAATTATTTATTCTTTAAAAAGAACATTCCTGATATATCTTTCAGATGTACTAAACAATATCCTGAAACTCTGTTATGAGAAAACAACTTACTGTGTTGTCTTACAAGCTGATTCAGTAAATCAAAGAACCAAATCTCACTTTTGATTACCTGTAGAAAAAAAATAGAAGTGCATAGCAACATAAATATAGACTTTCACACTTTGTTGAAAGGAAAAGTAAAGTAAATCCAAGTAATCCTTAAAATATCTGGACTTTCTAAAAGTCTTTGTAACTAAACTTTTTATTTTAAACTGAACCAGAATTTTCCACACTAATTTTTTTTACGAAGCTGGGTATAGGGAAAAAAAAACCACAACGTGATCACCTACTTAAGCTGCAATGAAGGAAAACAAAATCCATGTTACAAAATGTGGAAAAATTATGCTGATTCTTAAAAAAAAAAAAAAAAAGTCATGACCAAAAAAATGCAACTGTAAATAAAAATGTTTTACATCTTCACTGACACACTTTAGATCATTTAGGAAGTGGGCTGCTTTGACTCTGTCTGTTAGGACCAACGCAAGCAGAAATAGAAGCAACGTCACAGAACACACGGAGGTACTTTAAACATTTTAAAGACTCACAAGGCAACTGAACTTATGTCTTCCACTTACACCAGTGAGGAGCCTGGCCGTAACATCATAAAAACCAGTACAAGTAAGTGATGAGCTACAACAGGCAAACAAAAAAATAGAAACATACATTCAGCATGTTTCTTTTACCACATTATTTTTATTTTTTATTTATAACCATATTCCATGAGCAGCAACTGAAAAAATGCAAGGCCAAAGGCTATTGCAACATTGGAAGTTAAGGGAGGTAGCAAGAAGTCTTATCAGAGGTTCTGAAATTAAGGGCATGAAAAAAGCCGATGGGAGTTTCGTGGAGGTGACCACAAAGCAGGCAGAGTGCTATTTCAGTGCTCTTGAATCAACATTTTTGTCCTCCTCACAACTAATAATGGAATCAAGGAGGAGAAAAGGCTCACTTCATCCTTAAAATATTTATCACAGTATTGGAGGTTAGACAAAAACACATCCAAAGCGTTGCAGGTCTTGCAGAAATCTCGTTCACAGGAAGTGCCTTTGGTCTCCATACCTGGGAAAAGGTGAAGATTAGATGTCATTCATTACTCCTGAATAATGTGAAACACACAAAGTCATATATATAATGATCAAATGTGTCTGTGAATGCAACACGATATCAATAAGAGACTATCATTCTCAGAACTCAACTTTACTGGGCTGGCCATGTTGTAAGAATGCCTGATTTCAGAATCCCAAAGGCAGTGTTCAATTCTGAACTGTCCTCAGGGAAACATATGGTTGGCGTACCAAAAGTGCTACAAATACACCCTGAAATGTCTCTTTTTTAGTTTTAAGGTTCTACAGCGCTTGCAACTGCATGACTGCATAAAATGTCTCTGGAGCACTTCAACATTAATGCTTCAACATGGAAGAGCCTAGCTCCTGACAGACCCAGCTGGAGAGCAGCAGTCACAGTGGGCAACAAATCATGAGGCTTCACGAATAAGAAATGCTGAAACCAAGAGAGAAGCCCACAAGCTGCACATATCATCAAATATAAGTGGAGATTTTAAATATTCAGAATGTGGCTAACTTTTCTCTGCCACAATTAGTCTCATTGGCCACAGCAGAGGCCACGAGTCACCTTAATCTTTAGTTCTTCTTATTCTTCTATTTCACTAGAGAAATATTCTCTTCTGTGGATGTATTGACATTGATGGACGAGCTATTATTATTAATATGATAACATTCTCAGACAGTGAAATAATCCGAAAGTCGATATGAGTAGGAGGAAACACAAAGAAACTTTAATAGGTAAGGCAAGGAAAAGGACTTTCTTGTTTTTTTACTGCCAAGGAAAAAATACATAAACAACATGAGAAAGAAAAGAAGTGAGACCTACATGAGGCATCCCCCCACCCCCACCCCTTTTCCTCATCAAACAACAGACAAGAAAAAAAAAGGGGAGATATTAACCAAGAGACATCACGCGTGTATCAGAGGCTTAACCCATGAATCCCATTATCGCATGCAAAATGTTTGCCAATTTTTTTTTGCGACCTCATATAAACCTTAATATAAATCTGACCATCAATGTTACGATGCAACTCACAATACTTTCAAGAAAGAAACAAAGTGGAGACAATCCACCCACAGAATATTCACCCTGTCAATGCACTTTTATACTTTATTGGTAGGCCTACACGTTCACGAAATCTTCGATATTACAGACAGCAATAAGTAACAGTTTTATAAAACATGAAATTATGAATCTATGTGTGGAAACCAGGATTAACAAAATTAATGAAAGCAAAACTATTGTCAGGATATTACTTCACAACAACATCAGTGATATTTCTGTACATAATGCAATCACAACTATGAAGGGACATCTGAACAGGCCACAAAAGACTTACAAAACGTGTCAAACAAGATGGCACAAAATGTTGTCAGTTCTTGGAATTTTTCGGTAGCTTCAGGACTCTAGAAATAGAAACAAAATACCAGTAGGGTTAATTTATACCCCCCAAAAAAATAAAAAAATAAAAAATAAAAAAGGAAAAGAAAAGTACTCTTGCCAGAGAAAAAGTTTGACAAGGCTAGGTTCATAACTCAAGTCTTGCAACCTTGAAATGGAAAATAGAAAGAAAGACAGACCTAAGACTAGAGGAAGCAAAAAACCTCCCAAAACAGGATAATACAGGAAATTATCAATAATAAAGTGATTCTAATTCTGTGAAGACGCTTAATCCTTTGAACCCACATAGAGAATATTTCTTGACATTCAATATGGCCGGAAATACTAGCTCCATCTGCCTGGTGTCTGCAAATTGAAAACAATAGAAGGATGTAAAAGCATTTAACTATACTGCACCCGACATTCTGTTGCCTTTGGGGATTGACCTCATCAGATACAATGGCGCTGTCAAGGAAACAACGATTAGCATTGCTGTTATATTTACAAAAAAGATGGCGCGATAAACATGTGCTCACCAAACTTGTTAATTATGAAAAAAAAGCTGTAAATACGTTGAAAATCGATCGCAAATTCTTCGCACCCAGGGGTTTTCAAGTACGCAGAGCTCAAATCTAAACTTTAAAATGTGATTCGATGCCATTTTTGACATTTTAGATATTCTTGTCCCGGCAGGAGCGATGACTCATTTCCTGTCTAGGATTGGCTGTCCTGAAGGATAGAATGCAGCATGCAACAATCAAACCCGGCTGTCTTCAGACAATGTCTGCAAGCTGGACTTGTTATAATAGGCCTATCTGTCAACTCTTTGTATTATTAGTAATCTCCGCACGCTGCATTTTGTCTGTCAGTTTGTTGTCTTCAAACCTAGCTTAGTATATCTTCAGCCTAAGACTGATAAACTAGCTCAGAGCAGAGTTCTCAGCATCCCCAAATTACTTTAGAGTACATTACATTAACTTTTCCAATCCGGTAACCAGAAGTTTGACCCCTTCAGCCTGTCGATACGATAAAGAATTAACTATTTTTATCAGCTGCATCTTTCGCTGTAGAGAGTGTTCCCAAAATCTGGGCAACCAGTTAGGAAGGTAGGTACCTCACAGGTTGTTCAGTGCAGGGCAGGTAAAGAGGTGGTGTGAGACCATTTCATCCTGGCAGTCACACAGTGGGGGGGGGCAAGGGTGGTATCCTTACAGGTTTGGTTCAGGCAAAAATTCAGTGGGATGTGTGGTGTTCGTGTGCAGAAGATAGTGGCCTGTTCTCTTCTACTCAGGGAATTAAGTATATCTTTTTGAGTTGGGAAGTTAGGTCTGAAGATACAGTCTTCTGATTTCGCACATGGCCCATCTGTTCCCTGATGTTGCATTTGATGATGTTCTTGACTGTCTGTTTTCATTGAGTACTAAAATTTCTGGTTAGTTTAGTTAGAGTTTTACAGCATTTGCAGTACAAGTCATTTCAGTGCCTAAGATAAGTCTTACTAGAGAGTAATATAAGAAAAAAAGGAGAGGTAAGGACAATAAAAGTTTGATAAGAAAGAAGGAGCAAACCACACCAGAGCACCGGCCAACCACCACGATTTTGAGGTTGTGTTTGTGATATTCCCTTCTTTGTAAGGGTGTTTACTCTGTTATTTCCTGGGATGTTGCTATGGCCAAGTATCCACTGTAAAGTCAGGTAGACGGCATAGGTCTGCATGAAAGTGTTTATGGTTAGTGCCAGAGATAGGTAGGCTGGGCTTTCCAAAGCTTGGAGTACTGATTTTTCCATCTGTGATGATTACCATGTCCTTGCTTTAGTCTGGGTATACAATAATTTGCTGCTTCAATGGTGGTGGCCTCCGCCTCGTAATTTGTACAAGAAGCATCACAGGCATCAAACAGTTCTTCACACATCTGGTCAGGATGTTCTGTTCTATTCTTACCCCAAAGCTTGCATTTATAGTGCCCTGACCCACCAGTGTTTCAGCATCCTGTAAGGAGAGTAAACTGGTCCAGCACGTATTTCTCAGTACCTTACCCTGTAGAAAAGGTGCAGCTGGGGTCAACCAAGTAGGGATGGTTCACACATGGGAATTTGGTAAATGTCAGAGTCCATGGTTCAAGGGTTAAGATCGTGAACAAATGAAGAAACATGTCATCCATCCTCCGCACAGACATGAAACCCCCTGTCTTGACTAAAAGACAGACCCAAAAAAATGATAGTCTTTTGTTAGCTTATCTTGTTTAATCAGTCTACCTTGTTGTTACAGGTCAAAGTGCAGCACCTTCGCGTTTTGGCAAAAGTGGTATTTTATCAATTTCAGTAAACTAAACACATCTTTCTATTCAAACGTGACATGTTTTTGCCATAATATCAGCAGTAGAAACAAAAAAAAACCCCCATAACTAAGGCATGTTTTTATACATTCTTTGATCTACCACAAATGACCAAAGGTAAGAGTAGAATTTAAATATTTACCTCATTTTTCTTTGGATGATACTTGAAAGCTGTTAACAAATATCTGTTTCTTGCATCCACTGAAAAAAGAAAACACATCATTCATCATTGTTCACTTTACAGAGGTGATAGAGTAAATGAGTAAACCTCTCTGCCAGCAGGTGGCATGAGCTTCCTCCTACTAGATATCACAGTAAGATTATTTTCAACAATATAGACAGAAAGATTACTACTATCATTCTCTAGAATCAAGCATCATAGTTCAACTCCAATTGTAAACAGGAAATTTCAATACAAAAGTAAAATGCATCATTTCGCTTTACAGAACATCACACTACAGCTTAAAAATCACATTCTGCGCTTGCTTGAACGTGAAAAAGCTAATGACAATATGCAAACATATACAAACCAAGAGAACTTTCCAATTAGTTCTTACTATCGGGTAACCAGCAGAGACACAAAGATGGTGCCAATTCAACAACTAATCTATATATATCTAGAACACAGAATGGGGAGGAGGTTTGAGTTCACACCTTCAAAAGCGCAACAAACTTATACTGTGAGTAATAATTATATAATACTGTGTTGGATTGACTTTCATTCTTTCCTCCTTCCATTTCATAACCCCACCAACAGGATTTCATGACAGTCAAACAGTCAAAGGAGCTGTCTACACAAACAGTACACAGCAGATGGCCCTATTTAACCCCAAGCTTGCAAGTTTGTAAACCTCGATAAAAAGAAATTCGCAATTTCACAAAGTCACACTTTAAAAAAAAGAAGGCGAAATCCACCTTTTATTCACTTTTTACCAGCCTTAGCATCAAAGACTGAAGACTCAAGGGGACCAACAAAAAGACAAAAGGATGAATAATGTATCATTTTGTGACACCACGAATATTTTCAATTCAATGTAAAGAAAGAAAGCCACTAATTGACGTTGAACCATTTGAAAATATAGTAATCTCCGCAAAGAATCCTGTCATCGGGAGACAGAAAAAGCAGGTTCTTCAGCAGATTTCAAGTGCAGAACTTCCTATACACAAAGTTTTTTTTCATGCACAAGTCGAAATCGCGATTCTTAAAGAAATTTATTAATCAAGTGGCTCGCAAATGATGAAATTAGGCTTCTGCTGCCACCCCCGCAACATTCAAAATTCCTACCAAAACTGAAAATATTCTTGTCAGTATAAAAACACGTCGATTTACCTTCGAAATCGGAATGTAGCTGCCTGATGGTGAAGGGCCCTACTCTTACTAATTAGTAGGAAAAATGGTTACATACGTCGTAAAAATCAGTTGCAGTGTAGGTTGAGGAACCAGCAATCAACTATCCCTGAGATCTAGAAGATATCTATTGCCATAACCAAATTAGATTTTTTTTAAAGTCTCCAACACCATTTTTATCTGTTCATATGAACTTTAATTTTATTTTATTATTTAAATTATTTAAATAAAATCAAAATTCATATAACAGATAAAAATGAGCAAGGAAAGTCTTTTTAGTTTTAGAATATTTGCACATGAGACAGGTGTGTAAGAGTAAAATAATACCAACTCTCCAAATCTGAATAGAACAGAAAGTGGAAGTGTATGCCATTTCATTGGAAGTGGCTATTCTCTCCCCAGGTGAGAATAAAAATACGATCAACCTCTCAACCCGGGTGGGACTTGCCAGCATTGGCTTTTCTTACCCGACGTGAAACAAGACCTGTTTTTCCAACTAATTTCTGAATACTGTCTATCGGTGTGGATGATCAAATTGACAAAAAACAGAGAAAGCAATGATGTTATAGCACAAAAGTAAACTGAATTTTGTTGTCTTCAAATTATACTTTTTTAATCGAGCTGAACTACGCTGATCGCCACATGTTTTGCCCGAAAGCTTTTGCTTCTCCTTCTGTATCCCTATCTCTTTCCCCCCCCGGTTTGTTTACACTAGTATCACAGTGAACGCCCAGCGGGTGAGAATAGCAAAAAGGCTCGCCCTCTCACCCGGAGTGATCGGCCTGAACCAATGCACAGGTGAACGCACACCGGGTGAAAATAGCCAGAAGATTTACCCTCTCACCTCGGGCGAGAGGCCTACGACTGCGGGGTGAAAATAGAGGTGGCCTATAATTTTATCTTTCAGTCCCTGCCGATCCCTCTCCCTTCACCACCACCTGTGAAAAGTATGAGTATGCTTAGGCTTAATGGCAGCTTTAAAAAAGTTCCATAGAGATCTAGTGGGTTCTTTGGCCTTTGGTTTTGGCAGACCAGGTTTTTGATGAACTTTGAGTGTTCTCAGGAGACCGACTGCGTCTAGAAAATAGATTCTAGAATCTAGATCTAGATAAATTTCTGTGATCTTGATCTTGAGCGGAGTGTTCTTACGAAGCTAGGACCATGTACGTTGACAAAACACCTTTTTCTTATTCACAGCAGTTTCAAGTAAATGAAGCTGAAGCGAGCACCTAACACACCTCTATTATTGGCCCAAAGATATGACGTATTTCCATCTATTTCCTTCGCCAGTCGACCAGATCTCATCGTGGTGGGCCCGCTTTGCCGCTGAGCGCAAGATGGGCTACGTCACTAGGTTTCTTCATCGACTGCTTGGGCTGAGTGTGTGAGTGTGATTGTGTGTGTGTATGTGTGTGTGTGTGTGTGTGCGTGCACGTGCTTTTGAGTGTGTGTGTGTGTGTGTGTGTGTGTGTGTGTGTGTGTGTGTGTGTGTGTGTGTACAACTTTGTGGAGAAGGTAAATTTATGGAACAAGAATTGCTGAGATTGATTGTTTATAAATAAAAGATAACACAAATTAATTTTTTTTAAACAAAAAAAAAACAAAACAAGGTGAAATCTAGTCAACAGTTACTGGAGAGGGAAACCCAAGAGTCTCGGGGGAAACCCCGGAAGACAACAAAAGCAGATGGCGAAATACGTCATCTCTATTTGGGCCAATCACAGAGGTGTGCTAGGTGTTTGCTGTAGCTTCATGTGTTTCGAGTGTAGTCGTAGGGCCTGTTATTTTATCATATTATGTAAAACTTTCAAAGAGAAACCAGAAAGTGCGCCAATCAGCACTGGGACAAATTATGCTCAGAAATCCAACAGGCAAGCGAGGTAATATCAGGAAAATGTATGAAAACATCAGAGTTGCTATTGGACCAACAGCAAACAAAGTGGCACCTCTAAAGTCTGCGACAGGTGAACAGCTGACAGACAAGAAGAAACAAACAGATGGGAAGATGAATTCAAGAGGAGCGACATGTTGATAGACAGCTACATGAGGCCATTCCTCAGCTCTTCGAAATGTCAGAACTTGACACAACACCAACAGAAGAACTCTCTTCTGCAATCGATGAACTCGCTTGCGGAAAAGCAGCAGGAAATGACGACATACCTGCTGAGGTGCTAAAAGAGAACAAAGAGACCCTCCTCCCATATCTCTACAAGCTACTAACGACTTGTTGGCTGAAAGCAGAAATTCCACAGGACATGAGAGATGCCAAAATCACCACACTCTACAAAAACAAAGGGGACAAAGGAGATTGCAACAACTACAGAGGTATCTCACTGCTAAGCATCACTGGAAAAGCTTTCGCTAGGATCATCCTGAAGCGACTTCAGAAATTAGCAGAAAGAGTCCTACCAGAGCCAAAGCGGTTTTAGATCAAACCGCTCAACAATGGACATGATCTTTTCTATTCGTCAGATTCAAGAAAATGCAGGGAGCAGCAACTGCCATTACATACCACGTTCGTCGACATGACAAAGGCTTTTGAAACAGTCAGTAGATCAGGACTGTACATGGTGCTCGGAAAAATTGGCTGTCCTCCAATACTGCTACAGCTCATCATCTCATTGCACGAAGATATGAAGGCCATCATTCAGTTTGATGGTTCAACATCAAACAACTTCAACATCAATAGCGGAGTAAAGCAAAGTTGTGTCTTAGCACTAACCCTTTTTAGCACTAACCCTTTTTAGCACTTATTTTGCTGTCTTACTGCAACACGCATTCAAAGAGTCACCAGAGGACGTCTTCCTCCACTGGAGAACAGATGGGTCGCTCTTCAATCTTGCTCGACTCAAGACCAAGACCAAGATCAACAAAACAACAGTACGAGATCTTCTCTTCGCCAATGATGCTGCTCTTGTTGCTCACAGTCAATCAACCCTACAAACAATGATGGACCGCCTATCAACAGCATGCAAGGTCTTTAGCTTGGTCATCAACGTTAAGAAAACAGTCATCCTTACCCAAGAAGGTGAAGAGCAGAGCCATATATATGGCTAAACGACAAGGAACTTGAGACAGTGGACAAGTTCTGTTACCTGGGGTCTACCATCAGCTCTACTAAATCACTTGATTATGAAATCAACATCAGGATATGGAAACCAGAAACAACTTTTGGAAGGCTGCAAAACGAGCATGGGAAAACAAAACATTAACCATCAAAACAAAGGTCAAGATTTACAAAGCATGTGTCCTCAGCACACTCCTTTATGGATCTGAAACATGGACCTTGTGCAGCAGGCAAGAAAAGCGCCTTGACATTTTCCATCTCAGATGCTGCTGCAAGATCTTAAGCTTTTTGTGGCATGACAAGGTTACAAATGTTGAAGTGTTGGCAAGGGCAAGCCTCCAGAGCTAGGGTTGGTGATTTTTTTTATAAAAATAAAAAAAATCGATTTTTAAAAATTTAAATCAGATTTTTTAAAAATTTAAATCAGATTTTTTTTTTTTTAACTTTTTTTTTTTTAATGTCCACACAGTTTGGGATTTTTGGTGGCTAAAAGTATGTTCTTTTAGTGCAAAATGCATTGTCGTTATTTTAACAAATGATTAAATTAAGCAACTGCAATTTTAGAAAGCCTTAATCTGCTATCAGTGAATTATGGCTACAGACAAAAAATGAAGAAAATGTCAGTCTAAAAGGAAAGGGGGGGGGGGGGGGGAATTATGCATAGATAAACTTGAATTTCATTTTTATTACAGTGTGTGTGTGAGCACGCGCTTGTGTTTGTCTAAAAAGAAAAAGAAAATGCTAATTTCAATTATGAAAAAAAACGTAAATTGAATACTGTATTATTTTACTTACAGTGACAGGGGGGGAAAGCAGACTTTTAAACAATTTTAGTTTACTAAACCTTATATCTGTTTTATAAAACCAAGGAAAGGAATTCTGAATGTTTAAAGATGTAAAAACAGAAAACATTTTTTAAAAATGATTTAAATCACTGAGTTTTATTTTTAAAATCAAGTTGATTTAAATATAAAAAAATCAACTGATTTAAATCGACCCGATTTAAATCAACCCAACCCTGGTTTTCAATTATGAAAAAAAAGTAAATTGAGAACTGTATTATTTTACAGTGACAGGGGGGAAAGCAGACTTTTAAGCATGATTATATTAGTCTACTAAACCTGATATCCGTTTAAAATAAAACCAAGGAAAGGAATTCTGGAAGTTTAAATATGTAAAAACTGAATACATTTTTTTGAAAAGTGATTTAAATCACTGATTTTTATTCTTAAAATCAAATTGATTAAAAACATTTTTTAATCAACTGATTTAAATCAACCCAGCTCTGATTTAAATTATGGAAAAAAAAGTAAATTGAATACTGTATTATTTTACAGTGAAAGGGGGGAAATCAGACTTTAAAGCATGGTTATATTAGTCTACTGAACCTTATATCTGTTTTATGAAACCAAGGAAAGGAATTCTGAATGTTGAAATGTGTAAAAACCGAATAAAAATAATTTTCAAAAAAAGTGATTTAAATCACTGATTTTTATTTAAAAAATCAAGTTGATTTAAATTTTAAAAATCAACTGAATTAAATCAACCCAACCCTGTCTAGAGCATGACAACTATCCTGTGTTTAAAAAGATTGAGATGGCTGGGCCATGACAAGAGAATGGACGACAACCGGATTCCGAAGCAACTTCTCTATGGAGAATTTGCCCAGGGAAAGAGACAAAGAGGAAGACCAAAATTAAGGTAAAAAGACACCTGCAAAAACAGCTTTTATATCTAAGCTTGGAGTAGATGTAAGCATCATGAAAACACGGGCTGAGGACAGGAAAACAAGGAGGAAAATGATACAGGAAAGAACTATAATGCTAGAAAGCAGCCATCTACAGAAACAACCAGGCTGAGAAGCGCCAACGACGAAAGGAAAAATATCAGCAGAAATAGATAGCTTCAATCCATATTACTGACATGCAAGCACTGCGACAGAAACTGTGCCTCAAACATAGGAAGAAAATAATTCAAAGTGAGTATTTCTCCGAACGTTCGGGAAAATAAACTTGAACACTATTTCTCCGAACGGTTTCTGTTCTCGAGATTTTTTGGTTATTTGCGAGATTTAGGTGTCATCTTTCATCAGCCATTCTGCAAGGACTGGAGAAGCATTTTTTGTATCGAAGTCAATTTCTAGAGCTATAGATCTTGACATTTTTATTTGAATATTCAGATACACTTCAATTGAGGTTGGGGCAACGTTCCCGGACTATACTTCATTTGAAAATACCTTCAAAAGGTACTGCACTGCGAGAAAACAGGACTGATCCACTTTGGCAGTAACCTATTTTCCATTTCGTCACCCAGCAAAAAACTAAAATCCTTCAATTTAAAAAAATCCCTCAACGCCCCCCCCCCCCCCCCCCCCAACAAACAAACGCCCCGTACACACCTCACACACACACACACACACACAAACACACACACACACACACAGTGGTTTGTTGGCAGGTGCTCTGGTGAGGTTTGCTTCTTCTTTCCTATCAAACATCTATCGTCCTTATCTCCCCATCTTCTTTTATATTTGTTACTCTCTTACTCTTGTACACCTCTATATTACTATTATCTTCTGGCGCTCATACCTTGCCTTATATGCAGTTGCGAGCGCCGTAAAACCTCTACTAAAAGTAAACTAACACACACACACGGGTTTCTCCATTCACAATAATTATCAACAAACCTAGAGAACGGAAACCGTTCGGAGAAATAACAGTTCAAGTTTATTTTCCCGAACGTTCGGAGAAATAGAGCCGGCCAAAATAATTAGCCTTGAAAGAAGCTTGAAGACAACTTTGAGACCATCTTTCCATCTGCAGACGAAAAGAGCCATACACACATGTAAAACAGTTCAACGGGCATGGACTCCTATTTGTTTAGATTGCATTGTAAGTGGCTTCATTTTCAGAATTGGTGATGCGACGGGGAGCATTTGGGCAGTCAGACAGGTGAAATAATTAACAACGACCACTGAGCTTATTTATTGGGACGGACCAAACCAACTGCACATTTTGTACTCACCATAACTAACGTCTTCGGTTGAAAACCCAAGCTCCCGTAAACACCTCAATTTCGAGTCTTTTGGTAACTCGTCTGTCGCCATTTCCTCGTGCGGGAAAACTTCGTGCAAACAGCAAGTCACCGTCAATGGTCCGTTATGGTCCATCGTTTATGTTCGGAGATCATACCCCAAGACGTCGCTCGGTCTTCCCTGGGGCCTGTCTGACAGTCTGACGGGACTTGAGGCTAGTTCCCAGATTTAAGCCTCACTTTTACGCCAGATCAAAAGTTGGTGTTCCAAGTCAAATTTTTAAGTTCCCATCTGAGATCCCTGCTAGGCCGGCCTAGGCCTTGGCCCTAGCATCCTTTAATTATCTTATCCTCAAAGCCTAATGTATCAAGTTCATAGCAGAGAAGGTTTGGGAAACAACGTCCAACTTCAGGAACTGCCCGCAGTTTTGAACGCGAATATGGAAAAAAGTCATCAGTGTTCTGGACTGAATCACACACATCTTTATCGAATTATTAGCAGTGTGCACTGGGTATTACAGCCCAGCGGTCCTCTGTCCGTCGGGGCTGAGAATTGAACTCGCATGTTTGTTATTACTGGAAAAATGACAATAGTAAGGATTAGGAACGAAAAAGAAGCAGTTCCCTGTTGCAGTTCAGGCACTGTTATGAGTATGACACTGATGAATCAGGCACAGTTATGAGTATGACACTGATGAATCAGCCTATTTACAATTCTTCTGTGCATAAGAACATGTTAATGTCCCCCCTTTGGAAATGGCCTAAAGACACATCAGTCAGTATATCACCGCCCCGGGGGGTATGCGCGTCTTCTGCGGAGCAAATTAATTAGAATAAATGAATTACATTCTACGTCTAGAGAAAAGATAAAAATCGAGATAAGAACATTGCACAACCAAGATGAAATAGAGAATGAGAGATGGGTCCCTTGGAATTCATAGTTTGAATTTTATTTCAGATCCAAACATTTTTCTTTTACTTTCATTGGTAAACTCAACAAGCTCACAGAACAACGTTCACTGTCAGAAGTCACTACTGATCTAACGGTTGTTTCTATCTCTCCACCACAATTCCATGTCTCCACCACAGTCCTATCTCTCTACCACAGTTCTTCCATCTCTCCACCACATATCTATCTCTCCATCACTGTTCTATATATCTCCCCACCACAGCTCTATTTATCTCTCCACGACAGTTCCATCTCTTCACAACAGTTCTATCTTTCCATCAAAGTTCTATCTCAACGCTAAAGTTCCATTTTTTCATTACAGTTCTATCTCTCAATCATAGTTCCATAGCTCCACAACAGATTTATCTCTCCACCAATGTTCTTCCATCTCTGAACCATAGTTCTCATCAGTTCTATCTCTCCACCACAGTTCTATCTGCCCACCACAACTTTATCTCCCCCCCCAACCACAGTTCTATCTCACCACCCCAGTTCGTTCATCTCTCCACTAAAGTTATTCCAGGGGGCTCTCGCGGCCTAGAGGTTAATGTGTTCGCCTCTCATTCAAAGGTCCCGGGTTCGAATCCGGGTAGGGACAAAAACAATTGTATTCTCTAAAATTGTCTCCTTTCACCTCCTTCCCTTCTCTCTACCATTATTCTATCGTCTGCTTTCGTCTTTACTTTCTGCCCCCACCCTCTCACCCCCTCACCCCCTCACCATCTATGCCCCCTCCTCTGGGCTCCTGACTCTTTCTGCAGCCTTTACTTTCAACTGCTTCTTCCTGGCTCCTTTGTACTGCTTTCTTTCAGCCACACCCCTAATTTTACGGTAGGAAAGATCTAGATCTATATTTTGCCTTCTCGGACAAGGGCGAAAAATCTCGGAGAAGGGCGAAAAATCTCGGAGGTCCCTTCTGGAAGTTGCGCACGTTAGAGATCCCTTGGTGGTCGATAAGAGTAGTCTTCGGCTGCCACCCGAACAAAATTCGAAATTTTGTACCTACTGAAAATATTAGGTGTGCCCCATGCGCACATATGACCATACCATATGCAGTTGTAAGCGCTGTAAAACACTCCCCCCC